AAGACCTAAGAAAGTAGTGTATATGACATTTATGAGATTATCAAAAAGATCTGAACCATGCAAATCTTCATTCCAATTATTGTTTCTTAGGAACTTTTGCACAATTCCATCAGTTTTGTGTTCTAAAAGTAGAAGAACATTTTTTGCTTTTTCAAATTCATCTGGGTTTGTCTGTAAGATTAGTGAAATCTCAGTAACCCATTTTTCTACAACTCTTTCTCTGAGTTTTAGATCTTGGATACAATCAATATTGAGTATATTGATCGTATTGGGTCCTTTGCTACTATCTGGAATACCATTGTGTACAGGCATTTTGAACTCATATTTCTTTTTATTGCCTCTTCTTGTGGCTGTATAAGAAGATTCTGCTTCATCATCTTCCATATCTGAATATTCGAACTTAACAGTCTTTGTATTAGTTTTAAAGTTATCTTCTTGTTCTGATTCAGTATCAGGTTCATCTATTTTAGTCATTCTAAAATATTGATCAAAAAGTTTGGGTTCTTTTTGATACAATTCTTCGCATTCTTTAGTTTCTAAAGATAAAAGCTGAATAAGTTTTTGGTCAGCCTTATCATAATCTTCATATTGAAGGTTAAAGAAATATTTCTCAAGTTTCTCAGAGATTGTTTCTTTCATTTTTGCTCTTTTTTGAAAATATCAATTTTCTGGGAGTCTTTTGAGCTTCCTAAGTCAGGGTTTCCAATACTAGGATTGGGAGGTGAGTATTTCTTAAGACCTGAATATTTTCCAGGTTTGGTTTTTTGCTCTATGATGGAAATATTCTTGATGTGTTCAAGAATGTCTTTATTACAAGGGCAAGAGTCAATCTTTTCAGATAACTCTTTAGTAATGTCTGCAATAATTTTTGCAGATGCTACTTCCAACTGTGTAGTGGTTACGTATTTATTGACTGTTAAGTCAAAGTTTATGATCAGCCCATCTATTTTTTCATTAAGGAGGTTGATTGATCTATTGAGCTCGGGAATCGAGGTCATCCTATTAGTTGTTTTAACTGATCTTGTATATTAGTGATCTTAAGGTTGTTTTCCTTAAGAGTGCCTTCAATATTTGCCTTTTTGGCGACTTCTTCAACAAAATGGTTGTTTTTTAAAGAGTTTTCTAAAAGAATAGAATGTTTGTCAATAGACTGGGTTAGCTTGATAGTTAATTTATTTTGCCTTTCAATAACTTCGAAGAATTTTTCAAAATCATTTTTATCAAGATTGTTTTTAACCAAAAAGGCTAAATCGTTTTTAAATTGGTTAAAAGGTATTTTATTTTTTGAAATATCTTTAGAAATATCTTTTGAAATACCAAGGTAATGGCTTATTTTTGAAGTTTTTAAGAGACATCTTGCAATGATCTGGTTGAGATTATTGCAATGATTTACAATTGTTTGAATACCAGCTTTTCCAGAAGTAGAGAAATGTATTCTTTCTTTTCAGTATTGTCGTCAAGAGTTTTAATTTTTACTGTTTTACCTTTTTTATAAAAATGAGGAAAATCTATTTTATTACTCATTTATAACTTCAGAGATTTGTTTGATATTCTGACGTAGACTATCAATTTTTAAAGACATGTTTCTTATCAAGTTACTATCTTTTCTTTCTGAGCTTTCTCCTATATGGAGTGAATCCATAGAAATTCTTGGTCTAAGAGTTTCTCCTAGAGCTTTTTTGTTTCTAGCTATATTTAAAACCCAAGAGTTTTCTTGAGGATTTATGTCGCAGAATTGTTTATCTTTGACATGGCCTATTTCTGAAAAGACATCATCAAGTTCGATGTACTCGTCTTTCTTGTAGTCTATGCTATGGTGACTATTGGTCAGGGCATATCCTATGAGATAGGTTATGGTGAATGGTTTATCACCTGGGTTCATAAGGTCACTTCTTTCAAAGTGATGTATAAAAGATAAAGTTTTATCTATATTTGCAGATTTCAAATCCAGAGCAAATTTTGGATAGACTGAAAACATAAATTTTTGGTAAGCAAGGTTTCCCCTAGCAGCACCTAAGATGCAGTCCTGTCTGTCAGTAATTCTGTTGTCAATTAAGGCCATTTTTATGGGAGAATTTATTCCTGCTTGGAATTGGGATTTTATCAAAAATTTTACAGCTCCGATATGGACCATTCTTATTTTGATCTAATCTCAACTGGAATACTTTTCAAGTTATTGTTTATTTGTTCTTTAGTTAAAAGGGGTAGAAAGACAGCTCCTATTGTGTCTTTTATGTCTACAGACATTTCTTTAGTACTAACAAAGTAGAAAATTTCATTTTTTCTTTTAAGTGGATTTAAAATACTAAGTTTAGAAGGAACATTTTTGAAAATGTTTTCTTTCTTTATTTTTAAATCTGTTTTCTTAACTCGAGAGAGAAGGTCTTGTTTTATTAAGAGGTTTGCATGAAAGCCGTCTTCATCCTCAACATAAGTTAGGATTTGTTTTTCTTCTGAATCATTTTCTTCAGAATTGTTGAAAATTTCTTTATTCATTTTAAGAAATGTTAACAAGTTAAAATCCTTTTTCTGAGTTCTGAAACTGAGTTTAAAGCTTTATCAAGGTGTTCTTGATGCATTTTTTGCCTATGAAGGAGGTACTTACGTATATTAACCATGGTTGGTATATATTCGTGAGTATGTTTATTTTGTGCTTGTAGAATTCTGAAATTTATATGCACTAAATCTTTTTTATTACTTAAAAGTATTTCTTTATGTTGAGAAATCTCATTCTCTTTATTACGAATTTTATCGAAAATTCCACTGTAAAGTGTTTCATTATAATGTAATGCCATTTTAACAAAGGCTCTGATACCAGTTGGGGTGTGCGGTTTTCTGAGTAGGCGTGTGTGTGCGGTTTTCTTGTTTTTTTTACAAGAAGAAGGGAATAGATGCAAAAATTGTAAAGAGAAAACTCATTTAATCAATAAGTGTTTTGGAGTAGGAGTATTACTTACATAGATAGAAACTATTCAAGCCAGCCTGTGTCATCCTTTGGTCTGTGTGGTTGCTTTCCCTGTTGGCCTCATGCCTGCGGTACTGTTGACCATCGTCGACCTGACACTCTGTCACTTACAGGTTTCATTACTCTATTTTGTATGAACACTCAAGTATAACAAAACATGGATTTATTGATAAAAGAGCTCCCAAGATGGGAGTACTCTTTACAATATTTTACATCTTCTCCCCTCTAAGGGAGATTTTACTCACAAGACATTAAAAATTTATAAGATAGAGAGTGTTTTTTTTTTTGCACTCGTTCTTGCGATGCCCTTAATGAAAACATAACTCTCAATTTATAGATACATTGAGAGGGTCTGATAATTGTTTGTTACGTCAGGCATGACGTTTCTCTCCACTAACGAATTACATTATTGTGGATAGCTGGAAGGCATCTCTAAAAGGTAAGACGCATTATTTTTCTGAGTGGATGGAAGTGTGCGGAGCATCTTCTATTAAGATGATGAGGATTTGTCATCTTCAGAGGAGGGCCCCTCCTTTGTCTCCGAATCTTTGCTTTCGCAAAAGTGACAGAGATGTTCTTCGAAAAGTTGTTCTGCATGTCGGCAGAAGTGTTGGTGTGTAGCGTTGGAGACTTCCATGGTATTGTTCATGAATTTTTCGCCAAACATAGAGGCTTGACGAAGATCTTCTTGACTGGTGTTGTTGTAACTCCAGCTTGTAATTATACAATGTGAGTTGGTATAATTAATCTTCTTTTTTGAACCAGAGATAATCTCAATGATTTTTTCTGAGATTCTTCTTAACCCATTGATGCGATTGGGATGAAGAATTTCTGTGAATGGTAGATCTTTATCCTCCATTGGTCGAGATTGTTCAATTTCTCTATTGGTTTTAGAAAGACCAATTTCCAGAAAATGGTATGAAGAAAGAGTTGATTCTTGAATCCATTCTGGGAGTGAAGAGATGCATCTGATGTAGATCGGGTTATCTTTTGCTTTAAGTACTTTCTTTCGAAAGTTCTTAATGGATTCTACCATGCTGCTTGGGAAGAATTTGAGTTCTTGAAGGTTGCAACTTGGGTAGATATTGTCGATTAGTCCAGCTTGAAAGGCTTGGTAGACTAAATTTGCATCTGCTCCTTCGAGGAAGTTGAACAGACTTTTTGTCTTCTTATCCGTAGTGAAAAACTTTTCATAAATAAGATCTTCTGGGCATGCAGCTCTTGCTTTCTTCCAGATTGTTCTGAAATCTTCAAAAGAGATTTCAGGATAGTTAACCGTTTGTTGAACGTCAATTGGAACGTCAAACCTTTGGTCTCTGTGAGCTTCTTTGACTTTTTGGATTTTTGGTCGAAGAAGTGGTTGGTTAGTTTTGCTTGTATCATCTTGATAGGTGGCAAGGCTTAATCTTGCAGATGCTTCATTTCTGAATTTTTTGCAAGTAACTTTATCAGCTTTACAGAAAGTTTCTGTAATTCCCCAGTCAGTATGAACACCGGCATGTGGTCCTTTGTAGATTACATAAAATCTTTCAGCTTCTTTGTTAAGAGCTTTTTTGTAATCTGGTGTAAACTCCTGCACAGATTTGTTGTGGGTGACAAAGTTGTCATTTTACTGATTCCTTCAGTACAAGGATTGGGGTTAACCAATAAGCTAGTTTTTCCTTCAGGAAGAGGAGTAGCTGTCTCCTTTATTATGCTTTTTAGCAAAGCATCAGCTTTCAACGGATTTGTCGATTCTTTACCAGGTGCCGTTTGCACTGGAATAGCCTTTGTTTTTAAGCTTTCGCTTTCCGGTACATTGGTGACCGTTGTTACTTGTTCATACAAGTTGATTTTCTGCTCAATTGCAGATAGCTCAATGAGGAGCATTTGTTTCTTTATCCTCAAAGTGTTGAGGTCTTCCATTTTTGTAAACTCAATTTTTGTTTACTTTTCTCTCTAATCTCCCCCTCTCTTTTTTGTAGGTGAAGTTTTTTGTGAGGAATATGTCATGAGGATCATATCCTTTTATAGGGCTCGAGAGGAGCAAGTGAGATCATGGATGATGTAAGGTATACCTGAAGTCACGGGTGAGGCAGTCTGCCAGTACATTTTTATTTCCTGCGAGATGTTCAACAGTGAAAGTATATCGTGAGAACCACTCTTGCCAACGTATTAGTCGGCCTAATTTGTTGTCTCCTGCAATCTTAGTTCGGAGGAAATAAGTAAAATTTTTATTATCTGTACGAACCAGGAAATTTACTGGTGTTAAATATACAGAGAATTTTGTAATAACTCTTTTTACAGCGAGTAATTCTTTTTCATTGCTATGGTAGTTTTTCTCGGCTGCCTTGAAACTGCCAGAGGTGTACCTGCAAATTTGTTCTTCGTTTTTGGGGGTTTTAGCTTTTAAAACAGCTCCCCAAAATTCATCAGAAGCATCAGTTACTGTCTTCAATGTTTGCAAGATAAAGTTTTGGAAAATTGATTAAAACTTTCTTTATCTTTTTGATGTAGTCTGTATTAGCATTTGACCAATTCCAGATGACATCTTTTTTCAATTTTACCTGTAAAGGTTTTCTCATGGCTGCAAGTTTTTCAATATATGTTTCAGCATAAGTTAAAACACCAAGAAATCTTTGCAGTTGTTTTTTGTCTTCTAAAACATTTGGAAAGTCATGTAAATGTTCAAGAATATGCTTTTGAGGACAATGAGTACCCTCATTTATTTCTAAACCCAAAAAATTAATTTTTGTTTTGAAAAGATGAGCTTTCTTTTTTGAAAGTATTATTCCATATTTTAAAATGGTTCTGAGAACCTGTGTAACATGAACATAGTGCTCTTGTTCATTTTTGCTGAAGACCATGATGTCATCAACGTATACAGTACAGAAACCTTCAAGTCCTCGAAGGGCGTTCTGCATGTGTCTTTGAAAAATACTAGGAGCTTGTTTAAGCCCAAAGGGTAGTACTTTCCATTGAAAGAGTCCATCAGGACATGTGAAGGCAGTGAGAAGCTGCGATTCTTCATCAAGTAGGACTTGCCAGAAACCTGACTTGCAGTCAAAACTTGAATACATATTTTTTCCTCGTAGAAGAGTCAAAAGTTCGTGCATATTGGGAAGATTATGTGAGTCTCCAATAGTTGCATCATTGATTGCTTTGTAGTTGACAACCATGCGCTTCTTTCCTCTTCTTTTTTCTGCTTCTTTATTGACAAGAAAGGCAGGGGACATATGAGGGGATTTTGATTCTATAATTAGTCTCATATCAAGTAATTCCTTGATTTGTTTGGAGAATTCTTCTCTATCTTGTAGAGAGTAAACCATAGGTTTTTCTCTAATAACCGTTTTGGGATTAATGAGCTTAATTGAAGCTTTCATCCATCCTTTGGTTTTATCTGGATCAATAGGATTTTCAGAACAAACTTTTTCAAGAAGATCTTCAATCTGTTTGAACCTGGTAGTTTGAATAGAAATAATCCTTTCTTTATTAATTCCTTCTTGGGTTATATTAGTACCCGGAATTTGTTTTTCTTTAGAGCCTTTTTCTTGAGTTTCAAGAAAACCTGGTTTTCCTTTGCTATAGGCTTCTGTAACCTTTTTTATAATTACCATATCATTATTAAGATGAAAGGCAATTCTATCTATCCATTGTATAAATGGTCCATAAACTTGACAAAAGTTGTTACCAATTATGATATCAATTCCTGAATTTTGTTGGTAAATAGTGGGAACGTTGAAATGTTCTCCTGAAAGTTCGAGATTAATATTTCTACAAACTTTATTTATCTTTATGGTTTCACCATTTGCAATAGTGGCACTAATTTCTTTGGGAGCATTTTCCCAGAGCTCATCCGGAATGATGAATTTGCTTGCAAGACATAAAGATGCACCTGTGTCTACAAAACAATGTACTCTAAATTTCTTATATCCTTTAAAGTTAAGGAAGGCAGAAACATAAATAGAGTTTGGATTAGTGAGATTCATGATAAGGGAATCATTAATCTTCTGGAGGTTTGCGCAAAAATGGTTAAACTCCTCCTCCCTAAAAAGTGGAGCCTGTATGAGACTAGTCTGAGTCATCCGTGGTTGATTCGTTTTCATCAAATTTGATGAAGAATCAGTTTCAACATGAAATGTAAAGACATGTTGTATACCTTCATACTCCTCTTCAAGAGCTTCATAACCTCCATTATTAGCGGTTTGTAAAACCTTGACTTTGTCAGGGTATTTTTTTCTATTTGGACATTCATTGGCATAGTGTCCTTCTTCATTGCAGATCCAACATCTACATTTTTTCTTTCCTTGTGGACAGGAAGTAGTCTTCTTAGGTGATTCTTTTGAAGGTTTTTTGAAGTATTTTCCTGGTGAAAATTTTCTTCTTTTCTTTTTCCAAAAAGATTTATATTTCTTTTTGTTTTTATATTTTTTCTTACTATAAGTTTTCCTTCCAATATCAAAGTTTTTGAAATCAGAGAGAATGCTACAACAATCTTTACTTATTGTTTTGAGCTTTTGTTGTTTATATCTGTCTTGACAGATTCTATCAATTTCTTCCTTTGCAATTTTTGTTGCATAAGAAAGACTGGTTTGCTGGATTTCTCCAGTAGCTTCCTTTTTCCATCTTTCAGTACAGATTTCTCCAATAATTGGAATTTTCATTAGATAAGCAGATATCCATTGTGCATATTCACTTCTCTAGGGAATATCATATAGATATGATTCATACATACATGTGTATTTGTCGAGAAGACTAATATCATGTAATTGGAGTTTTGTCATTGAAACTCTTGCTACGTCAACTTTCTTATTAATGGTAAAGTCTTTATTAGAAATATAATCAAGACCTAAGAAAGTAGTGTATATGACATTTATGAGATTATCAAAAAGATCTGAACCATGCAAATCTTCATTCCAATTATTGTTTCTTAGGAACTTTTGCACAATTCCATCAGTTTTGTGTTCTAAAAGTAGAAGAACATTTTTTGCTTTTTCAAATTCATCTGGGTTTGTCTGTAAGATTAGTGAAATCTCAGTAACCCATTTTTCTACAACTCTTTCTCTGAGTTTTAGATCTTGGATACAATCAATATTGAGTATATTGATCGTATTGGGTCCTTTGCTACTATCTGGAATACCATTGTGTACAGGCATTTTGAACTCATATTTCTTTTTATTGCCTCTTCTTGTGGCTGTATAAGAAGATTCTGCTTCATCATCTTCCATATCTGAATATTCGAACTTAACAGTCTTTGTATTAGTTTTAAAGTTATCTTCTTGTTCTGATTCAGTATCAGGTTCATCTATTTTAGTCATTCTAAAATATTGATCAAAAAGTTTGGGTTCTTTTTGATACAATTCTTCGCATTCTTTAGTTTCTAAAGATAAAAGCTGAATAAGTTTTTGGTCAGCCTTATCATAATCTTCATATTGAAGGTTAAAGAAATATTTCTCAAGTTTCTCAGAGATTGTTTCTTTCATTTTTGCTCTTTTTTGAAAATATCAATTTTCTGGGAGTCTTTTGAGCTTCCTAAGTCAGGGTTTCCAATACTAGGATTGGGAGGTGAGTATTTCTTAAGACCTGAATATTTTCCAGGTTTGGTTTTTTGCTCTATGATGGAAATATTCTTGATGTGTTCAAGAATGTCTTTATTACAAGGGCAAGAGTCAATCTTTTCAGATAACTCTTTAGTAATGTCTGCAATAATTTTTGCAGATGCTACTTCCAACTGTGTAGTGGTTACGTATTTATTGACTGTTAAGTCAAAGTTTATGATCAGCCCATCTATTTTTTCATTAAGGAGGTTGATTGATCTATTGAGCTCGGGAATCGAGGTCATCCTATTAGTTGTTTTAACTGATCTTGTATATTAGTGATCTTAAGGTTGTTTTCCTTAAGAGTGCCTTCAATATTTGCCTTTTTGGCGACTTCTTCAACAAAATGGTTGTTTTTTAAAGAGTTTTCTAAAAGAATAGAATGTTTGTCAATAGACTGGGTTAGCTTGATAGTTAATTTATTTTGCCTTTCAATAACTTCGAAGAATTTTTCAAAATCATTTTTATCAAGATTGTTTTTAACCAAAAAGGCTAAATCGTTTTTAAATTGGTTAAAAGGTATTTTATTTTTGAAATATCTTTAGAAATATCTTTTGAAATACCAAGGTAATGGCTTATTTTTGAAGTTTTTAAGAGACATCTTGCAATGATCTGGTTGAGATTATTGCAATGATTTACAATTGTTTGAATACCAGCTTTTCCAGAAGTAGAGAAAATGTATTCTTTCTTTTCAGTATTGTCGTCAAGAGTTTTAATTTTTACTGTTTTACCTTTTTTATAAAAATGAGGAAAATCTATTTTATTACTCATTTATAACTTCAGAGATTTGTTTGATATTCTGACGTAGACTATCAATTTTTAAAGACATGTTTCTTATCAAGTTACTATCTTTTCTTTCTGAGCTTTCTCCTATATGGAGTGAATCCATAGAAATTCTTGGTCTAAGAGTTTCTCCTAGAGCTTTTTTGTTTCTAGCTATATTTAAAACCCAAGAGTTTTCTTGAGGATTTATGTCGCAGAATTGTTTATCTTTGACATGGCCTATTTCTGAAAAGACATCATCAAGTTCGATGTACTCGTCTTTCTTGTAGTCTATGCTATGGTGACTATTGGTCAGGGCATATCCTATGAGATAGGTTATGGTGAATGGTTTATCACCTGGGTTCATAAGGTCACTTCTTTCAAAGTGATGTATAAAAGATAAAGTTTTATCTATATTTGCAGATTTCAAATCCAGAGCAAATTTTGGATAGACTGAAAACATAAATTTTTGGTAAGCAAGGTTTCCCCTAGCAGCACCTAAGATGCAGTCCTGTCTGTCAGTAATTCTGTTGTCAATTAAGGCCATTTTTATGGGAGAATTTATTCCTGCTTGGAATTGGGATTTTATCAAAATTTTTACAGCTCCGATATGGACCATTCTTATTTTTGATCTAATCTCAACTGGAATACTTTTCAAGTTATTGTTTATTTGTTCTTTAGTTAAAAGGGGTAGAAAGACAGCTCCTATTGTGTCTTTTATGTCTACAGACATTTCTTTAGTACTAACAAAGTAGAAAATTTCATTTTTTTTTTAAGTGGATTTAAAATACTAAGTTTAGAAGGAACATTTTTGAAAATGTTTTCTTTCTTTATTTTTAAATCTGTTTTCTTAACTCGAGAGAGAAGGTCTTGTTTTATTAAGAGGTTTGCATGAAAGCCGTCTTCATCCTCAACATAAGTTAGGATTTGTTTTTCTTCTGAATCATTTTCTTCAGAATTGTTGAAAATTTCTTTATTCATTTTAAGAAATGTTAACAAGTTAAAATCCTTTTTCTGAGTTCTGAAACTGAGTTTAAAGCTTTATCAAGGTGTTCTTGATGCATTTTTTTCCTATGAAGGAGGTACTTACGTATATTAACCATGGTTGGTATATATTCGTGAGTATGTTTATTTTGTGCTTGTAGAATTCTGAAATTTATATGCACTAAATATTTTTTATTACTTAAAAGTATTTCTTTATGTTGAGAAATCTCATTCTCTTTATTACGAATTTTATCGAAAATTCCACTGTAAAGTGTTTCATTATAATGTAATGCCATTTTAACAAAGGCTCTGATACCAGTTGGGGTGTGCGGTTTTCTGAGTAGGCGTGTGTGTGCGGTTTTCTTGTTTTTTTTACAAGAAGAAGGGAATAGATGTAAAAATTGTAAAGAGAAAACTCATTTAATCAATAAGTGTTTTGGAGTAGGAGTATTACTTACATAGATAGAAACTATTCAAGCCAGCCTGTGTCATCCTTTGGTCTGTGTGGTTGCTTTCCCTGTTGGCCTCATGCCTGCGGTACTGTTGACCATCGTCGACCTGACACTCTGTCACTTACAGGTTTCATTACTCTATTTTGTATGAACACTCAAGTATAACAAAACATGGATTTATTGATAAAAGAGCTCCCAAGATGGGAGTACTCTTACAATATTTTACATCTTCTCCCCTCTAAGGGAGATTTTACTTACAAGACATTAAAAATTTATAAGATAGAGAGTGCTTTTTGTTTTGCACTCGTTCTTGCGATACCCTTAATGAAAACATAACTCTCAATTTATAGATACATTGAGAGGGTCTGATAATTGTTTGTTACGTCAGGCATGACGTTTCTCTCCACTAACGAATTACATTATTGTGGATAGCTGGAAGGCATCTCTAAAAGGTAAGACGCATTATTTTTCTGAGTGGATGGAAGTGTGCGGAGCATCTTCTATTAAGATGATGAGGATTTGTCATCTTCAGAGGAGGGCCCCTCCTTTGTCTCCGAATCTTTGCTTTCGCAAAAGTGACAGAGATGTTCTTCGAAAAGTTGTTCTGCATGTCGGCAGAAGTGTTGGTGTGTGGCGTTGGAGACTTCCATGGTATTGTTCATGAATTTTTCGCCAAACATAGAGGCTTGACGAAGATCTTCTTGACTGGTGTTGTTGTAACTCCAGCTTGTAATTATACAATGTGAGTTGGTATAATTAATCTTCTTTTTTGAACCAGAGATAATCTCAATGATTTTTTCTAAGATTCTTCTTAACCCATTGATGCGATTGGGATGAAGAATTTTTGTGAATGGTAGATCTTTATCCTCCATTGGTCGAGATTGTTCAATTTCTCTATTGGTTTTAGAAAGACCAATTTCCAGAAAATGGTATGAAGAAAGAGTTGATTCTTGAATCCATTCTGGGAGTGAAGAGATGCATCTGATGTAGATCGGGTTATCTTTTGCTTTAAGTACTTTCTTTCGAAAGTTCTTAATGGATTCTACCATGCTGCTTGGGAAGAATTTGAGTTCTTGAAGGTTGCAACTTGGGTAGATATTGTCGATTAGTCCAGCTTGAAAGGCTTGGTAGACTAAATTTGCATCTGCTCCTTCGAGGAAGTTGAACAGACTTTTTGTCTTCTTATCCGTAGTGAAAAACTTTTCATAAATAAGATCTTCTGGGCATGCAGCTCTTGCTTTCTTCCAGATTGTTCTGAAATCTTCAAAAGAGATTTCAGGATAGTTAACCGTTTGTTGAACGTCAATTGGAACGTCAAACCTTTGGTCTCTTGAGCTTCTTTGACTTTTTGGATTTTTGGTCGAAGAAGTGGTTGGTTAGTTTTGCTTGTATCATTGATAGGTGGCAAGGCTTAATCTTGCAGATGCTTCATTTCTGAATTTTTTGCAAGTAACTTTATCAGCTTTACAGAAAGTTTCTGTAATTCCCCAGTCAGTATGAACACCGGCATGTGGTCCTTTGTAGATTACATAAAATCTTTCAGCTTCTTTGTTAAGAGCTTTTTGTAATCTGGTGTAAACTCCTGCACAGATTTGTTGGTGGGTGACAAAGTTGTCATTTTACTGATTCCTTCAGTACAAGGATTGGGGTTAACCAATAAGCTAGTTTTCCTTCAGGAAGAGGAGTAGCTGTCTCCTTTATTATGCTTTTTAGCAAAGCATCAGCTTTCAACGGATTTGTCGATTCTTTACCAGGTGCCGTTTGCACTGGAATAGCCTTTGTTTTTAAGCTTTCGCTTTCCGGTACATTGGTGACCGTTGTTACTTGTTCATACAAGTTGATTTTCTGCTCAATTGCAAATAGCTCAATGAGGAGCATTTGTTTCTTTATCCTCAAAGTGTTGAGGTCTTCCATTTTTGTAAACTCAATTTTTGTTTACTTTTCTCTCTAATCTCCCCCTCTCTTTTTTGTAGGTGAAGTTTTTTGTGAGGAATATGTCATGAGGATCATAACCTTTTATAGGGCTCGAGAGGAGCAAGTGAGATCATGGATGATGTAAGGTATACCTGAAGTCACGGGTGAGGCAGTCTGCCAGTACATTTTTATTTCCTGCGAGATGTTCAACAGTGAAAGTATATCGTGAGAACCACTCTTGCCAACGTATTAGTCGGCCTAATTTGTTGTCTCCTGCAATCTTAGTTCGGAGGAAATAAGTAAAAATTTTATTATCTGTACAAACCAGGAAATTTACTGGTGTTAAATATACAGAGAATTTTGTAATAACTCTTTTTACAGCGAGTAATTCTTTTTCATTGCTATGGTAGTTTTTCTCGGCTGCCTTGAAACTGCCAGAGGTGTACCTGCAAATTTGTTCTTCGTTTTTGGGGTGTTTAGCTTTTAAAACACCTCCCCAAAATTCATCAGAAGCATCAGTTTCAATAATTAAACTGTCTTCAATGTTTGGAAGATAAAGTTTTGGAAAATTGATTAAAACTTTCTTTATCTTTTTGATGTAGTCTGTATCAGCATTTGACCAATTCCAGATGACATTTTTTTCAATTTTACCTGTAAAGGTTTTCTCATGGCTGCAAGTTTTTCAATATATGTTTCAGCATAAGTTAAAACACCAAGAAATCTTTGCAGTTGTTTTTTGTCTTCTAAAACATTTGGAAAGTCATGTAAATGTTC